AAAGAGACCTGTTATATTTAATAACCGATCTCTTAAGTTATCTTTTTTTTTAAAAAAAAATTCTTGTTTTTAAGTAAAAAAATCATAAAGTTAGTTTAATGTAATAGTTTTATAGTATGTATTTTTATATCCTATTTTTGGATTGAAATCATTTTGGTGAAATATAATTTTTTTTATATAACTTTTGGATTGAAACAAGTGATCAATTATTGACGGTGACTCATAAGTTCGAAAATCCTGGATCCGCAACTGACTTATCATCCGTGTCCAAACTTAAGAGGACAAATATTCAAAATACGGAAAAAATTTCACTATAAGGAAGAGTCTAATAGTAGTCGTCCATGGCTCCATGCACCATACCGGCTTAATCGTACCACCTCCCACAAGTCGTTCATCCTGGCATTATCCAAGTCTTCAAGTAGGAGCATGCGTTACAAATTATATGTTCATGTTAGGTGAAGTTTTAGTGTCAAAACTTAAAAGAGACAAAGAAGAAGGCAAAAAAGGAGAGAAGGACCACCACCTAGATGGGGCACCACACGGCCACACCTCTACGGCACTAATCAATGCCTTGTGTTGTGCATCACACATCATTCAGTTTATATGAGACGTTAAAAAAGTGTGAGGCTTAAAGTCTTTTTTAATTAATACCAACATACAATGACCTTATTTAACTTGTATTTATTTATCAGTTGCATGCATTGAAAAGATGCTAAACTGCAAAAGTTAGCATTTGGCTTTGGCTTTTGCTTTTTTCACTTGGTTTTATGCTCAAGTTTTTACCTTTTTCACTTAGGTTTGCTAGAATCTTCAACAGTAAAATTTACTCTTTTTATTATTATTATTATTATTATTATTATTATTATTATTATATATATATATATATTTTTTATTTTTTTTTATTTTTTTTTTTTTACTGACTATCTTTGTAGAGCTTTGCTTTTGTTTTCATTTCTGTAACAAAGGTAAAAACTTCTTGACATGAGACCATGGCTCCATGAGTAATCATGTCAACAAAATTGCTGGTTGTTAGGAGTATAGTATAAATATCAATAAATAGCCAACAATAGAACCCCAAAAGAAGATGTGGAAATATTTTTTCAGAAAAGAAGTTGGGGAATTAAATTTAAGTGATTCTAACTAATAATAATAATTTAAAGCAAATATCATGGCATTTCTTGCATTATGATAAACGACTAATGGTTTCATTATTATAAATCATAAACAATATTTTTTTTAAGGAATAAGAAGCTAAAAAAGGAAATATTGAGAATAAATTAATGAAAATAGTATAGTGCACCCGGGTGCACCATGTGCATGGTGCACCCGGAAAGAACATTAGACATATTTTAAAGAACATGGGCAAAAAAAAAAAACATGCTAGTGTTAGAAAAAGAACATACCTATGTTTGACAAAAGAACATGTTTGTGTTTGACAAGAACATGACATTCCAAAGAACATAAAGTCTTTACAAAAAGGACATGTTATTTTTCATGGTTATTTAGGTGTTGAACGTGCTTAAAAAAGAACATTATATTTGACAAAAAAGAACATGTTCGTGTTTGACAAAGATGTAGGTGATCATTGGGTGGGTCGGGCCAAGGTTAAAAAATCAGCTCACTTCTCGGGTCGGGCCAAATTTTGGGCCGAATTTTTTGTGCCCAAAATTGTTCGGCCATGCGGGCTTTTCGGGTCGAGTAAAAAAATCAACTAAAATGCATAAAACGCATTCCCAAACCCGCCCAATAAATTAAATTTAAGGGCGGGTCCGACCCGATTTTGGGGGCGAAAAAATTCTGCCCAAAACCCGTCCAAAATCGGGTCGGGTCGTTCTAACTTTGATCACCTCTAGCCAAAGAACATAAAGTCTTTACAAAAAGAACATGATAATACATTAAAGAACATGTTCTTTTTTCTGGTTACTCGAGTGATTGATTTTTTTTTTTTTAATGTACATACATTAAAAAATATATTGTATAATATAAAGAACATATTGTATAATATAAAGAACATATAGTTCAAACTCAAAGAACATAATCATCAAACTTAAAGAACATATTATGCTCATGTTCTTTATAAATATATATAATGTTCTTTTTTTGTCCATGTTCTTTTAAATATACCTTATGTTCTTTTCGGGTGCACCATGCGCATGGTGCACCCGGGTGCACCAACCATACATTAATAAATTAACATTAAATATACCGATTTACGTGTGATTTTGTCATGAATTCTCAACTTAATTCTATTTGAATAAGTATATTTAACGCTTATATATAACACTACACATATCATCTTTTTTTAATTTACAAGTTTTTAGGAAATGCTAATAGTATGTGCATTAGGAGGATAATTAATGCTCTGTAGTATGTTGATATTGATATTTCAACCAACAAAAACAATGCATCCCCGTTTTAAAAACAAATAATGTGAAATGAATAAAATTAGTTAAGTTGTCAAATAATATGAAAAGAAAAATATGGAGTACTTCGTGTACAGAATAATCATGCAAATCAATGTGGAGAGCTATAAATTAATTTACGTATATGTGATGATGACAATTCGAAGTCATCTCCTAATCTTCATTAAAATTTTAATTATGAAAGACACTCTTCAACTAGATAGTTTGAAAAAAGCATAATCACCTCTAAAGTATAGAGTTCTACCCCTTTAAGTGATTATTAATAGAAAAAGCGTTTTTTGTTGTGGTTATGACCCTAGAAATTGAAGCAAATTATGCAGATTAAGGTCCTTGGAATTGCTTTAATAGCAAGTTTGATCAAGGTCTTGCCAATCAATAATGGTGTTACCATTTGTTTAAGAAGAATGTTGAATAGCTCCATACCTTAATTGCATGAAATATGTTCGAAGCCATATTCCCACAAGACCTCGATGTCCATTGTGGTATAATAAGTCTCTTTCAATTGATTCCTTGCACAAGTTTAATTGCTTGCTTGCTTGGTAGCTTGCACAAATAATAAAGGAGTGACTTTTATAGCACGTTTGGGAATAATATACCAACATAGGATGTATGTTGTCGTAAATGTCCCAACTAATTTGACGATACAATCTCGTACGGGGTTATCTTGGCGATATAATCTCAAGAGTCAAATGTCCAACATGGATTAAATATAGGAAATTTTAGATTTTAACACCACACAAAAACCCGAAAATGGTTTTTAACACCTCCAAAAAAAAAATTGATTTTAACACAACACAAACTAACAAAAATTGGCATTACCACCACTTAACGGATTCCGTCCAAAATTTCCATTAAGTGGGGTCCTCAGTGACACGTGTCACCATTTTAGTTGTTTAAAAAAATTTAAAAAAATAAAAAAAATAAAAATAAAAAACCCTAAAACTACCCCAGCCACCCCAGCCCCACCACCGCGCAACCACCGCCAACCACAAACCTACTCCTTCCCTCCCCCAAACCATCACAGGCCGCGACGCCTTCACACCCCCAACCCAGATGAACCTTCCCCCTCCCTTCCCGCAACCGCTTCGCCCCCAAAAACGACCAAATCCAAAATCTCCTTCCCCAATACCGTCGCGATTTCGGCCATAATTGGACGAAATCGGCCGGTTTTGGGGTTGAGTTGCCTTAATTGGCCGATTTCGACCATTTTTGGCCGGAATCGTGACCGTATTAGGGTAGGAGGGTTTTGGGTCAGGTGGTTTTTGGGGGCGAAGCGGTTGCGGGAAAGGGAGGGGGAGGTTTTAGCTAGGTTGGGTGAGCGAAGGCGTCGCTGGTGGTGGTTTTTGGGAGGGCAGGGGTGGGTGGGTGGTTAGGTGGTGGTTGCGCGGCGGCGGGGCTGGGGTGGCTGGGTAGTTTTAGGTCTTTTGATTTTTTTTTAATTTTTTTTTAATTTTTTTGGCCAATAAGAAAGCGACACGTGGCACTTAACTGATTCCGTTTAGGAATCCGTAAAGTGGTGGTAATACCCATTTTTTGTTAGTTTGTGTGGTGTTAAAATCAATTTTTTTTTTTGGAGGTGTTAAAAACCATTTTCGGGTTTTTGTGTGGTGTTAAAATCTAAAATAACCTTAAATATAAACATATTTGAAAATCCTAAGGTCCTTTTAGATAAAGGGAATTTCACTAGAATAGAAAAAACAATGACTTAGGGTCTGTTCACTTCAACTTAATATCAGTTCAGCTCCTAATTTCCTTCTCTCATAAAATATTCATTTCAAATATATTCAGTACAACTCCAATTAGTTCAGTTCAGTTCAGTAAATGTGAACAGACTCTTACATTGCGCTTTTATATTTAGTTTGAAAAAGGATATGAGATTTGATAATAAAAGAATAAAGTGATGCGGAAACACCTTATGAACTTATAAAGTTGTAAATCAAAAATATTTTCTCTGTACTTCACTTTCCTTCATCAAAATAACAAAAATGAAGTACACGTATCTTTTATTTTCTATATCTTTATTTCGTTAATACCTATTGGAAAAACGGTGATGTCAATTTTAGTAATAAAAATTATAATTGACGACATTTAAGCCTATTTTTAGGGTGCAATCACAAAATTGGACTCATACATTTCACTTGCCCATTACTTTCTTAGAAACTATCTTCAACTTCCCTCACATAAAAGCAAAGAATTTAAAATTGGTGGGGGGGGGGGGGGGGGTGAAGAAAGGTGCCCTTTACCCTTGTAATTATATGAGTCATCTTCTCATACATGACTCCACACATTAAGGAATAACAATTTGACTTTTACATCATTCATATACTCCACTTTGACTAGCTCTGATGAATTATAGTTAACGAAAAAAAGTCATGTGTAATCTTATGAGATTCACCTCGGCTTATACTTTATTAATGGTAAATGTTTATTTTTATATATTAGTATTAACAATATTAGTAATTAAAATAACATGTTGACAAGCAAGGAATGTGAAGTATTATTAGTAAATAAAATCAAGAAAGTATATTGTAGAGGTTATTTGAAATGACGTAAAGACATCTTACGACCCACAACTGCTAGGTATTTCAAGAGATGAGAAATTTCCTTTACTTTGACTGCAATAGATTACTAAGACAATGTTTACTTTGATGAAATGACATTTCATTTAACTTATACTAGTACACCAAATACAAATGTCCAATATCTAATAAAACAATTCAATGCTCTACCTCTTCTTCAAGGTAACCTTCCTATATTGACTATTTGATGACGTACTTCAATGTTGTTCCATTTGTTCCACCAAGCTTGTCTCATTTAAGAAGTTCACTTTTGTTTTTTTTTTGGTGTTTAGAGCACAAGGACAGATGATAAGAATCAATCCTAAGATCTTCTGAAACCGAAAAAGAAGCTTTAAGCACTTAGGCTATCCCTCACTCTCAACAAGTTCACAAATTTTAAGAGTTGGTTCATCTGATTTGATTTTTTATCCTTTGCATTTACATAGGTTGCTAAAGTTATAAATTCAACAAAACATCCATTTTACCAACATGGAATAACCTTCTTTTTTATGGTGCTATAGAGGAGGAAAACCCTACAAATTTGATGAAAATTTAACAACTAAAAGTAATGTCATAACAGCCACTTTATTACCTTCTTTGTAGCAATGAATAATACGAAAATCCCAAACATCTCTCGAACCACTTGACTCGTGAAAATGATCGACACTATTGTAGCTTTCTATATCTTGTTATACAACATTCTTCAATATTTGACATACACCTCATTGTCCATTTGCAACTCTGGCTTTGATCGCCTGTAGCCCAGGTATATGACTTCGTATTTCGTATGAAAATATCCTACATTATTAAACCAAAACTGTGCTAGTGTTTAAAATCATAGATCAAATGAAATATAACAAAGTGAATTGATAAACTAACAAATTTGAGTAACGAAAAAAATTTTAAGTGATGCTATACAAGGAACGACAATTTGGTAATTCCAGTTGAGCAGGCTACACTCGCTAACTCCTCTCTGGTTCGAAGTTTAGCTATGACAGGGAACAAAAGAAATAGATACTACAAACAGTGACACATACAATTGTGACTAGATTTTCCGCTGATTATCATCTAAACAAACAAATCACAGATACGCCAATGTTTCATGAACGAGATTGTACAAACAACGTACACAACACGTCGAGATCCAAACTGATTAACCAAGAGAAATAAGCAACAAAAGACCAGTTTACAGATTTACTGGGAGTAATGCTATTTAATGAATGACAGTTTGGTAATTCTAGTTGAGCATGCCACATCCGTTACCCTCCTCTATGGTTTGATGTTTAGCTTACGGCATGGAACAAAAGATATACAATTAGATAGCACAAACAGGGATACAAATTGTACAATTGAACAAACAATGTATACAGCACGCAACAATCCAAACTGATTAACCAAAAAAAAGAAAAGAGTAAAGCAATAAAACTACAAGACCTTTCAAAATTAATTACAGATTTCTGCTAAGAGCAACAAATCAACCTAAAACTTCAATGCTTAAGAGATGATATGCCAATAGTTACTAAAAAATTGGAAACCACACTACTAGGGTAGTAGGAATGATAATATGAGGCTCATGTACGGACAAGAAACCTGATTTGGCATGGTGGTATTAAGAAGAGGTACCTCTCACTGACCGTACGGAAGAGAATGTTGATGGTGTAAAACCCTAATAAACATATGGTAATATTCTCCAGGGCACAATTTTACAGTACTCAGCCCAAATATCTTTGTATTTCTCTGCACATCGAGCTTCGTCTCTTCTCTCTCTCCAGATCAGCAAAATAAGAAGATATGTAGGATAAAAGTAAGGAATTGGGGAGCTGCAAACACGAGACAACAAGTCAATAAAGCTATCAGGCCCATACACAATTGCAAGCATTATTAGATTGAGAGCATGAACGTCACCTAATTCCACATGGTAAACTGAAGGATAGTGCCAACAACAAATCTCCTAGATAATTACAGTGCCTAGCGATTCCCCTGAAACAGCAAAGGTAAGTTATCAAGATCAATGCATCATTACAAGAAGTGTATATTATTTTGCTATAGTCATGCAAAATGTCTATGCATTGGCAACAGGAACTCTTCCATGCATCCATTTCTAAAGTTTCCGCAATTTTATACAACAATTGATATATGTCAGTATTAAATTCTTGTTAACTTCTATTATTGACAACATACAAGTATTATAGCAATATACAGCAAAACAAAATATAAAAACCTACCAAATTAAGCCTTTTTTTTTATCAATACAAAGCACACAATGTCACAAATCTATGCTGATGCGCATTAGCTAAACAGGGAAAGTGTTCTAGCTTGTTCTCAGCCACTGATTTTAATCCCTATCTTGCGAGCAAAGCAAGGATGTGGAGAGCTCTGAGCAAGAAATAATACAAGAGGAGACTTCGCACAACCAAATTTTACTTGTACATTCAGCAATCAAGTGTTCTCTAGCAATTTGCAATAACAAGTTCAAATATTCAACATTAATCTACCATCGATTTCTCAAACATTTGCACCATAAAATAATAACAATTAAAGATTTTCCAAACACAATTTTATTCATCATTTCTTATTTTGTTATAAAGCGAAACTTTAGAAAATAAAAAAATCAATTCATGGAAACTTACCAATAGCCAGAAGCAAGCAATTTGCCCCCAATGACCTTAGGAGGTTTGCCCCATATCGGTGCTTTAGGATTCTTCTTAAACACGTGCTTCTGCCTGTTAGCTCCCCTAAAGATGCGGTACCTGTCCAAATTAGAACGTGTAATTAAGAGTTATAGAAATCTCCAGTCAGGGGTAGCTCAAAGAAAAGGAGACAAGAAATAGAAAGGGGAAGAGCACAAACAAAAACCAACACACAGCGCACCAAAAATATTGAATGGTAATTACCCCATCAAAAAGACGATGCAATTTGCCACTACTGCAGCAGTGGTTAAATCCACCTTATTCCTCAAAAGCCACCACCCCTGTAAAAATAAAAATATTAAAAAGAAAAAACGTTGGATCACCTAGTCTTCAAGAGAGATAAAAATCTATATCTATAGTATACATTAAAAAAATTCCTAATAAAGCCTACCGCGCCACATGGCACTCTCTCTCATCTCATCCATGTGTTAACATTTTATGTCGATTAAAAATATAAATGCAGTTGATACAAGGTTTGTACTGGCAACCTTAAATTTGATAACCAAAGACTTATCCCCTAATATATGTTGTACTAGATGATTTTATTCCACAACAAAACCTAATTAATGACAAAAGAGGATGGAAAATGTACATGTAATTACCTAAGGCATTGCACGGACCAAACTAGTTACACTTTTATAACTCCCTCGACACCATTGACAAGTAAATTATATCCATATCCTGTATCCTTTAGCTGTCAAATTTTGTTTGTTTGTCTAGGTTAGTATTGTCTCAACATAAAAAGTTAGGTTCAGATTAGTTTGAACAAGCTTCTGAAAATCCTTAACGATAATAATGACTAGTACAAGAGAAGTAGAAGCAAAAGCTATGAGATGAGACTTTGAGACAAAAACTGAAGAAAATATCAAATAGACAAAGATTGATTAGATAGCGAATTTAATTGGAGAGTGAACATGGACAATGGAGGGAGGATTTTAAATCCGTTGACAACATCACTAGATATAGACATGTGGAGAACACACAGACACTGTGCGAGCGCGCACGCATGCACACTAGACTTATGGAGAACACACACGCATGCACACGCGCACAAACACACACACGCACACAACACATGTAGAACACACACACACACGCAAGCAGGCACACATACACACGCAAGCAGGCACGCACATGCACGCCACGCACACAATGTAAATTAGCTAGTGAGATGAAGTCGGATTTATCTAAATGTAAATTTTACATGGGCCATGATGCTCGACACGAATGATCATATTAAGGTGAGAGTAGCAGAAATAAGTATATTGACATAGATGTGTGGGAACACCTTAAAGAATAAAATTAGACATGAAGATATTAGGAGGAAAGTTGGAGCTGCAGACATTGAGGATAAAGACATGGATGTATGGGAAGATTGGGAACACCTTAAAGGATAGAATTACAAATGAAGATAGTAGGAGGAAAGTTGGAATTGCAGACATTGAGGATAAAATAAGAGAGAACCGATTGCGTTAGTTTGGGCATGTTTAACGGGGATCAAAAGATGCACTAGTAAGGAAAGTAGAGGGTTAGGATAGGGGTTCTTTGAAGAGATAGGGGAAGACTAAAAGATGACTTAAATGATATTAGGTTAAGAAGAAAAAGAAAAAGTTTTTAAATACTTGCTCCACTTTCCATTTCCGACCGTTTTTAAATACTTGTTCCATTTCTTTGTTTGAAAATGTTTTACAATATTTAATTCATTTCTCTCGACTAGTAGGACCGAATAGAATTATATTTTGTTACCTTTAGATTCTCTCCTCCAATTTACCTTCCACTAACCCCACTACCTCCATATTTTATTACTTTCTCCAATTTCACCTAAAACTCCGCGCATGGAGAAATGGAGCAAGTATTTGAAAATGGAGGGAGTAACATTCAGTGGAAGGAGAGAATCATAGTTGGCGAGTGTAGGTAATAAAACATTGGCTTAAGACTGAAATTTAAGCATTCTTTAAATGAGAAAGATGCTTATAATGAGAAGGAATCAAAGGTCACGATGTAATACAAGCCATTTACTTTTGTGCATACTTTAATAGCTGAATGTGCATATTTTTTAAACTGAGTGTGCAACTTTTTCATCATGTGCATTATATTTGAATATAACGTGCATATTTCTACATAAGTTTCCCACAAAACTAACTTTAAGTTTAAATTGAACATATGCATATTAAACTAAAAAATTAGTGTACTTCTGTTTTTGGATTTCCTCTCTTGGTAAACTCATTCCAAAATCAGGAAACAAAACAAAGAAACAAATGAAGGTGAAGAATAGCGCCACAAATTGCTAGCATAGCAAAAGCAATGAATGGTTCCGGGGAGGATTTTCAAATAATCAAAATATACCTGGATACTAAATGTGAAAGGAATCCACAAAAGATCCCCAAACACCAGCATAAAGCCCAATCTCTCTGCAATAATGTCCCAACTACAAAATTGAGAAGATACATAATTTAGAAACAATTGTACTCAAAATATTTCCAAGTCACACCTTGATTGTGATAAAATGAGCAGCAACAATCCCAGTTTTCAAGATTCATTTTCACTTCAATGCATCCCACAATGATAATGTGCAGGTACTATATGTCACATACATGAAGAAGACATTTTTTTTTTAATCATAGATAATTTGGCTGTACCAAGCATTGTAGTCTAAGAGCTCTTAAGACACCGCTTGATTTTGAGTTGTATTACACATTAAACACTGACGTAAGCTTCTATTAGTTAAAAGATCACTCTTTTCCATTCGGATTGATGAAATGAAATATAACTACGAGCGTTTTAGAAATCAATTTAGTATTAAAATAAGTTTGGCTAGAGACACAACACTCTCAAACCCCAAAGAAGGAAGAAGGGAGGAATAAGGATTCTCATTGCCTCCCAAAATAATAAATATAATATTTATAAATAAATAAATAACTCCCAAATCTTTTTTCTAGGTGGACTGAGTCTACTAAGATGTGAAGACAATCAAAACAAAGCCATTCCTCACCACATAAGCAAGAAAGTACAAAAAATAGATCATAAGGCATCCAATATCTAAGGCCTAAACTTTCATTGGAACTTAAGAGCATAAAGAGAAGGTGATGCACTTACGTGGAAGTCATGTATTCCTCATAGAAGAAGTAGTCCAGGATGTAAAACTGAAACAACATATGAGACAATAAATTTTCATCCCATAAATATAGAAAGTGACGGTCTCAGCAAGAGGATCAGAAAGAGGCATTACAGTGCAATATAGCTGGTATAAAACCATAGACCGATTTAAGTTGCTATCTTGTAAACTTTTAGCCAAAATTGAAAGATTAATAAGTAACCATCCCAGCATCCCAGCTCTCACAAAGAAAAATCTGCAAACAGAATGCTAAGGCATGAAATATGTTTACCACACAATGTTGCTCAATGCATAATAACTAGTCAGTATACAATATCAGGCCTCAACTGTAGCAAACAAAACAATCTCTACATGTTCAGATTAAGCATGGCAAGTCTCTAGTCAACTTCTATTTGACAAGCCATGTAAAGGAAAAAAAAAAGGGGGGGGGGGGGGGGTTAACGTGTACACAAAAGAAATCAAATTAGCAAGAAAAAGATCAAAGTGAACCATGTACCAGGCACTTCTGCAAGTTATTCGTATGCAGTATATAAGTCACAAATTCACAAGAACTGAAGAAGCATTAAAGATTATGAAGTAGAGGGCAGAATCCAAGAGAAGATTCAAGTGTATAAGCTTTGTCATCAAAAACTATAATTGAAACCAATGTCAAAAAGTTCATACAGAAGTGAATACAAATGTTGATGCATTAGTAGCATATCCTACAACTTAATCTACGATGAGTATTTCAAGAGAGTGAAAGTTGTAAGACATACTTGAGATCAATGCCCATAAATTGAGGATTCAGCTGTATTCCAAACCACCTATTAGAAATGAAATCATTAAACAGCAAGAATAAGGGGACCAAATCCTATGACCATATAGAATATAGAATGAAATTATTAAGCACTTCAAAATTGAAATTTGCAACGAGCGTGGGTTGCTAAGCAGAAGATTAATGAAACGGAAGGCTGATCGAGGATAGATTAGCTTAAAGCTTGCGTACAACGTTTAATGGCTTTAGGCCATAACTCTCAAAGGTTCTTCATACAATTTCTGGATGATTTCTCACTTGTGATTTCTACTATTTATACTACTACAATTGTTAATAAGTGGACAAAAGCTTTAATTGCTATTTTACTACTACTTGTCTTTAGCTAAGTTACCATAGTAAAAATAGGCCAACAGCCCTGCTTTGCCACTAAGGAGCCATTGTTTGTGTTGAGAGTGGGAGGGTGAATGGGAGGGTGCCATGTCCTTGCTGCAGCTTTTGTCTTCTTCGGTACACGACAGTGATTAGAGGTGGCTGGTGCATTGCAATACTCCCCCCCCCCCCAAAAGCGCCACCTTGTCCTCAAGGTGGAAGTCCGGGAACTTGGCCTTGATTGCTTTGGCATCTTCCCAGGTGGACTCGAATTCTGGCACTCCATGCCATTTGATTAGTACCTCTAGTCCTTCGCTCCGTCTCAACTTAGGCCTACTATCCAACACTTGCTCGGGTTCCACCACTAACTCCAACTCCGGGGTGATTTGAATGGGAATTGTAGGCGAACTAGGAACACTACCCACAACTTGTTTGAGCTGTGATACATGGAGCACAGGGTGGAGGCGGCAAGATTCCGGAAGTAACAGCTTGTAGGCCACCTTGCCCACACGTTGAATGATCTCGAACGGCCCATAGAAGCGTGCAGCGAGCTTCTCAAAGGGTCGTCTAGCTAAAGAGCGCTGCCTATAAGGTTGCAGCTTCAGAAAAACGTGATCCCCCACCTTAAATTCCACCTCTCTTCTCTTTGAATCAGCATTCCCCTTCATCACTTGCTGTGCACGCACAAGGTTCATCTTCAATTCTTCTAGCATCATGCCCCTTTCTTGCAAGACCTCCTCCACTTTGTCAACCGAGGTCTGACCCATTCCTACCTTCATCAATTTCGGTGGGTCCCTTCCATATAGCACCTTAATGGAGTCATGTGGGTTGTTGAGTGAGTAGAGGTGTTGTACGAATAGTCCGCCCAAGGTAACCATTGAGACCAAGTCCTGGGTTGCTATCCGGCAAATAACGAAGGTTGGTCTCTAGTCTCTTGTTCACGACCTCCGACTGTCCATCCGTTTACGGATGGTACGAAGTACTCCTCTTGAGGTTTGTCCCCTGAAGCCGAAACAACTCCTTCCAAAAAATGCTCACAAAAATTCTATCTCTGTCAGTTACTATGTTGCGGAATCCCATGCAATTGCACCACCTCTCTCACAAAAATCTCAGCCACGGTATGAGCAATAAAGGGGTGTTTAAGCCCTATGAAATGGGTGTACTTCGAAAATCGATCCACCACTACAAACACCGTATCCACCCCTTTGGAACGCGGAAGTCCGTCAATGAAATCCATCATTATATCCTCCCAAACCTTCTCCGGAATGGGTAGTGGTTGCAATAGACCCGCCAGAGATTATTGAGAGAGCTTGTTGCGTTGGCAGACCGCACACCCTATGATGTAATCGACCACATCTCGCCGCATTCCGGCAGCTCCACTCTCAAACCAACCTCAAGTATGTTTTTGTTTCCCCTTCGTGGCCCCCTTTCGGTGAATCGTGGTAAGCCCGAAACAAAGACTTTCGCGGGATTACCCTTCAACCTTTATACAACAGCTTCCCCTGTTCCACCGAGTACCCAGGGGTGCTCTCTCCTCTCTCCACCGCAGCTCTCAATTTCTTAATCTCCCCATCCTCCTGAATTTCCTTCTCTAACACTTCCCAATCCACCGCTTGTAAAGTGATCAAGGCCCCACATTTCGGATTCTCTTCACCGCCACCCCTCCTAGACAAGGCGTCGGCCACACGATTCGAGATGCCGGGCTTGTATTGAAGATCAAAATCGAAACCGATCAACTTACGCACCCACTGTTGATATTCCATCCCCACCTCTCGTTGTTGGGCGATATATTTCAGACTTCGTTGATCGCTCCGTACAATGAATAGCCGCCCCAATAAGTAGTGTTTCCACTTTTGCACCGCTAAGCACAACGCCTTCAGTTCTTTCTCAGAAATCGACTTACTTCGGCCACCGGGCCCTAACAACTTGCTGAAAAACGCCACCGGACAACCCTCTTGCATTAGCACCGCCCCTAACCCGAATCCGGAGGCATCGGATTCCACCACGAACACCTTCTGAAAATCAGGCATCAGGAGCACTGGAGCAACAGTCATGGCGGTTTTCAATTTATTGAAGGAAGCCTTTGCCGACCAACCAAAATTATCCTTCTTGAGTTGGTCAGTCAGTAGCTGGGCTATGTGAGCATAATGTTGAATAAATTTTCTATAATATCCTGTTAGGCCCAAAAAGCCTCTTAAGTCTCTTAAAGACTTTGGTGTGGGCCAACTCTTGATGGACTCAATTTTATCTTGATCAACCGCCACTCTTTCATTGGAGATAATATGCCCCAAATAAGCTACAACTTCTTTCCCAAATTCACATTTTTTTTATCAGCAAATGGAGAGTGGGCCTTGAGCGTGGCTAATACCTCCTTCAAGTGACTAACATGTTCCTCCTTGCTCGTGCTATACACGAGAATGTCGTAAAAAAGACGAGTACAAATTTGCGTAAAAAGGTAGTCGGTGCATTGGTTAGCCCGAAAGGCATGACTAGAAACTCATAGTGACCTTAGTGTGTACGAAAAGTCGTTTTATGAGTGTCCTCCAGCCTCACTAGAATTTGGTGATAACCGGCTTTCAAGTCGAGCTTCGAAAATATTTGTGCGCCATTTAGCTCATCCATCAATTCATCAATTACTGGTATCGAGTATTTATCGGGCACGGTTTCCTTGTTAAGGGCCCGATAATGTACACAAAAACGCCACGAGCCATCCTTCTTTTTTACCAAAAGTATCGGGCTTGAAAAAGGGCTTGAAAAAGATGGCCGTATAATCCCGGCGGTGAGCATTTCTCCGATTAGCTTTTCGATTTCATCTTTTTGGAATTGCGGATAACGATACAGCCTTACGCTTACGGGGTTGCTCCCTTCCTTAAGCACTATGGCGTGCTCATGTCCCCTCATTGGAGGAAACCCTTTTAGTTCATTACACACTTCCTCAAAAGTAGCCACTACCTCCTGTAAAAATTCAGGTATAACATTACTCTCCTTCTCCTGCCTTCCTTCCAAACTATTCATCTCCAACAAAAAAAACCCCTTTTTTCCTCCCCGAGGGTCCGTATCATCGCCTTGAGTGTGATACCGGTGCGTGCCAAGCTAGGATCACCTTTAATGGTGACTTGTTTCCCCCTCCATTGGAAACTCATCTCTTAAAGCTTCCAATTAGTCAAAACAGCCCCTAATTTCTCCAACCATTGCACCCCTAAAATCACATCCGAATTCTCCAATTGTAGTGGCAAAAAATCCTCATTCAACTCCACCTCCTCATTCAATTTCAAGCGGACACCGATGCATTGTCCTTGCCCCTTGATAGCTTCGCCATTGCCAAGTGAAACCCCAAAGGTTCCCGGTGACTGCCAATCCAAGGTGATCTATGGTGTGAAGAGATAAGAAATTGTCGGTGGCGTCGGGGTCGATCATCACCACCACGGGCTGCCCTTGAATGGTGCCAGTGAGTTTCACAGTTGGTAATTCCCCTTAGGGAATTCATGGAGATGGTGGCGGGTGTTCCTTCCTCCTCGGCTGACGGAGTCTCAAGAGCTTAAAGCTCCCCATTCTCCTCACACTCCTTGTCCTCCACAAGTAACACACTAAGCCCTTTAGTCGAGCAAACGTGTGTAGGTCCGGTCCACTGACCGTCACACCTAAAGCAAAGCCTCTTCTTCTCTCGTATTTCCCTCTCCGTCAACCTTCTGACTTCTCCATGAATCGAGATGAACTTGGGTTGCTCCGATTTTGATAGGTGGTGAATGGTCGATTAACGGACACACTGGAAGTTTGTGAGTGGTTTGGGTGGGAATAGGTTGGGTTAGTGTTGGTTTAGGGGTTGGATCAATAAGGGTTAGTGGACTGGGGGGTTGTGTTTAGGTTGGCTGGACTGGTTGGATATATGTGTTTGGGCTGCCAACTCCCAAAAGGGTTGTAGCTGGACTACGGTTAAAATACGAATACGGCCCTGGTTTGGCATACGCTCCACTTGTCTTCTTCAACCCGTTAACCCGGTTACGTTCTTCAACCCGTACGGCCAAATCCATCGCATCCGCTAGGTTTAATGGATTTCCGCCTTTATATCATCCTTGAGCTTGTTGACGAATTGTCCCTTCATTATACTCTCCGCCACAGCGGTCAAAGGCGACGCCTTCTCTATGAATGTTGGTGGTTTGCTCCCCAGCGAGCCACTGCTCGTGGAGGGTTCTTGCATTTACCGGCCGATATTGTGTGAGAACCCGAAGCTTTATGTTGTCCCAATTGAGGACCGGCCGTCCATGGCCACGACCGCACCGCAGCGCGTCGCCATCCATGGCCACGACCGCGGCCTGCAATTTTTCGACCTCAGTGAGCCGATAAAATTGGAAGTGCTGCTCGCCCCTTAACACCCATCCATCTGGATCCGAGCCGTCAAAGACCGACATATCCAGTTTGCGGAACTGCCAGTTACCACGATAGTCATGGTGGTCGTTGTAAGGGTCGTGGAACGGATCATTGTGGCTGAGGAAACCTCCTCCCATTCCAGGCTCCCAGTTCCCGAAACGGATGCCGTTGAAGCCACCACCATTCATCGGTGGTTCATTGAACGCACCCGTGTTGAGCGGTTGCTCCACCTCATCGTCCACCGTTATGGGCCGGTTGTTTGCCTAGGGCTTTGATGGCCCCCAAATCTCTTCCATTAACTTATCTTGCTTGCTCACCATTAGAGTGTTTTGTTGATTTTAGGCGTGCGAAAACAGTCGATTCTTCCCTCAAGCATCTGTCGGACGTCGTCTATGGCTGTTCGTTGGTCCTTCGGCAAGGTATGCTGTAGAGAGTTCTCCCCGTCACCCAACTTCTCACAAATTTCCTCTACCCACTCCTCACTCGCTCTGGCATCACCGTCAATGGTGTCGGAGGCATGTTGGCTCTGATACCAAGTGCAACGAACGTGGGTTACTAAACAGAAGATTAATAAAACAGAAGGCTGAATCAGGATGGATTAGCTTAAAGCTTCGTACAACGTTTAATGGCTTTAGGCCATAACTCTCAAAGGTTCTTCATACAATTTCAGGATGAATTCTCTACTTGTGACTTCTACTATTTATACTACTACAATTGTTCATAAGTGGACAAAAGCTTTAATTGCTATTTTACTACTACTAGTCTCTAGCTAAGTTACCATAGTAAAAATAGGCCAACAACCCTACTATGCCATTAAGGAGACGTTGCTTGTGTTGAGAGTGGGAGGGTGCCCTGTCCTTGCTGCTGCTTTTGTCTTCTTCGGTATTGCAAATTGAAAATCCATAGTCCATTCTGAATGTCAGTCTTGATCATAAGCATGCAAGGCGCTACAAAGGGTACTCAAATTCAAGACGCAAATGTGTGAGACAAAGATGCATACATTGACTTGTTGGCCACAAATCTCTGTCCATTTCAAATGGAGAAAAGGCTCACTATTCACTGGCTTTCAGTTACAGTGAGCTAAATTAAAATGTTTCATTAATATGTGCACCATTTTCGTTTGTTGTAAGATTAGCATACAATTATCACTATGATACAGGTCTACTTAAATGTTTTCTTATTGTTGCAAGTCCAAAGTTGGATATGCTAACCCTTTTACCCACATCATCCAAGGCAAGAACTATTAAAAGGTACTGGGCAACATTCTTAACACGTATATGACTTCACACCACATCTTTGGAAACACACACACACAAAAGATGGCTTTGACAACAAAAAATTCCCAAGTTTTACTTTATTTTTTGAAAAAACATAGTCATGTGAGATCTTGTACGATACATAACAATTTACATCCTATAGTATCTACTAATAGATACTTTGAAATTTAATGGTTAAAGTTGTGCATTTGCAAATGTGAAAGTCATTAAGGTATGACTAAATAAATGGAGGAAGTAATGACTTTCTAATGCTCAACGTAGTAGGTAATAATTTATGTAGCAATGGTAGAACGACCGTCTACATCAATTAATGCTATATGTATAAATATAGGGGAAAACCCTTGGTTTAGGTTGAAAAGGCCATTAATATTTTTGGTAACAAGGCACCTTATTTTTCGTTTTTTTTTTTTAACTCTTCTCCATAGTAAGTACAATATTGTATTCCCTGTGTCTCATAATATAGTAATTGTTTGTGTTTTTCACAGTATTTAAGAAATAAGAGGAGAAAATGGATGGAGTACATTAATAAAAGTGAAAAGTACAATCATAGACAAAAGTTAGAGAGAGAGTGGAAAAAAGTACAAGGCATGTGCAAAATTCAAAGGTAAATTAGGAAATACAATGAATAAAGTTAAAAAAAAGTGACGATATAATAGTATTTACATACTATTCAAAAATACAAACAGGAACAACATTTTGGATCTCCAAAATAGGAAAACATGAACTATATTATGGGAGGGAGGGAGTATAAGTTTATGCTACCGACAAAAAGCTCAAGTTGAAAGCATATGGTTTTGCTATGACTATCTTGTAAACATGTATGCAACATAGTATTATGGTTTTTAGAATAAGTTAAGCAAAGGGAAATAGGCAATCAAATAGATCATATTAGTTAATGTTAATGTTAATCAAGGAACTAAGCAAGATACAATATTTCCCTTGTAAGAGGTGAACTCTCTCACAATATATACTACTCATTATACACAATATTTCCCTACAATTCTAACAAACTCTTATGACAATTGTTTATAAAGCTCAAATATCTTGATTGGAGGAGTGGGGGGAGGGGGGGGGGGGGGGGTTGGATGATTCATGCATTACTCCCCACCAAGCTAGATATAATTTCTCTCCAAATGAAATTATGAGTAGCTCTTGGGTCTATATGTAAGGATAAAATCGTAAATTCGTTGTAATGTGAATGGTCATTGTCACTTGTTCGGCAAAGGTAGTATATAGTGATGCCACCTGTTCCTTCAAGCCGGAAACCTATTCTTCAAGCGTTTCAACCCACTAGTTATAGCAGGTAAGCAACATAATTCGGGGTTATATAATTGGATGTGTTCAATTCACTTGATTTTTACTTACTTATCTGAACCTATCCAAACTTAATTGAATCTAAATTTAACTTAACTTATCTGAACCTATTAAAACTTATTTTAGTTGTAATTTGAACTTGAGTAACCCTTATTAGAATTTATTTTTCCAAATTTGAACTTATTTCCTTGAACTTAAGTTACTTAACTAATCTAAAACTTATCTAAACTTGCAAAGAATTATGCAAACTCATAGATTGAATAAGTTAATCACATAAAATTAGGTAGATAAAATCTTTGTCTACTTTCAGGAGGTGGAATCTCTCCAAAGCAACTTCTCTCTAGAGTCTCTACAATATTTCTCTACAATTATTCTCAATGTTTCCCTTCAATTCTAACAAACTCTTATAAAAGCTGTTGACAAAGCACAAATGATTAATCCTTGAGGTTTTATCACCCTTGATAATTCTTCCTTGCATATGTGATTGGAGTGCAGTTTTTTTCTCAAAGATCTTCAAGGTGCATTGCCACAACAAAAGTAAAAATCATGGCAAATTGGAGGTTAATTAGCATGTAAAAAGTTTATTTATTTAGTAATTCATAGGCAACTCGTAAACAAAACAAACCATTGTTTGCTCAAGATTATAAATTTATATCCTACCATATCTTATAACTATTTTTCAAGACCATAATCTACTATGGTATGCACTGTGCAGTACATCAAATTTTAAAAATTTACTTAATTTTGTTCATTCAGGCTAATGGGAAAACATTACCAGTCATGAATCCAATTTCCAGATACATGAGGCTTCAGCGATGAACCTTTGTCATGTGAAATGCTACCGGCAACACAAAGTAACAAGGTTACCTGACATTAAAAATTACAAAATATTAGTTCAGAATGTTTTCAAGCTATAACGTGTACAAGTTAAATGTCAACCACAAAATACAAATCAATAACCATCGAAGAATCAAATAGACATTGCAACTTTGGAAAATCAAGATGTGTGATATCAAATGTAGAACAAACCTAATAATCAACAATTTAAATAATATTTAATATCATTAGTATCTTTGTTTATATATATATACTTGCACATTATTAAGGGTTTTTTTTTTATTCCACAATTAATTCATTTACGAAAATCAATAAAATAAATTAATTATTAAAGCATAAATGAACATAAGATAACTCTTTACAAAGATACATTCACAATTTTAACAATCTTCATTCTAAAAAACAAAAACAAAAACAAAAGTTAAATGTTAGAAAATAATACTCCTTGTCGTTCTTTAACAATTTTAGAAAATTTTCTAAATCATTCCCAAAATATACTTCCTTTGTTCTATTAATATTTCAACAATGGACTTTTTGCACTATTCATCACTCTTGTTTGACCATATAGTATGATTTATACATTAAGTAAAATATAGGCATGTGGGATCTCGTTGGATTTGTCTCATAAAATACTTTCACAATATTAACTTTTTATAATTTTTACTCTTACATAATTATAGATATTTAGCATATAAAATGTGCTTTGGGATGTGTAATTTCCTCCTTGTTGCAATATTAATAGAACGGAGGAAGTATAAAAGAAGAAACAAAGTTATGTAGGGTCTTATTTGATTATTCTCAAATAGTGCTTCAAAATTATCAATTTTACAAACTCATTTATTAAGTAATAAACAAGCTTGAAAAATTATCTTAAGCTTGTCAAATAAATGAACAAAGCTCGAACAATTTCATGTTCGACTCAATAATATTCGCGAACAACTCGTTTAAGTTCATTTATAAATTTGTTCACGACCGATTATAGCTCGGTTCATGTTCAAGCTCGAAAAATATTAAATCTACTTTAGTAAATTTATATATCTTTTACTGAAGACATATATGAAAGAATTATAAATTATTTCACCCTATATAGGCGGGAAAACCCTTACTTTATTTATTTCTATAGATTGAATGGAAACTTTTTATAAAAAATTAAATGGATGCATTAAAAGTCAAAAGAAATCATTTTTAATTATAAATTAGGGCTTGTTTATTAATTAAGCTAGTATTAAGTTTGTTCAAGCACGAGCTTAAATTCGAAATAAAAAACGAGCACGTTCATGAACAAAGTTCAAACAAGCTAAATCCTTAACAAGCCAAACTCAAACAGGATTTTTAAAAGCTCGTTCAAGAGACTAAAACTCGGCTCGACTCGGATTTTTTGTAGCACTAACGATTTGCATTTGAAAATGTGTGCACAATCAAAACCAGAGCATTGAAATGAAAATAGAGAGGGAATAACAATTAGCACATAACAGATGAAAAAATAAATATATCTAATTTAATAGGAAAATTTCTATGTTCGATTTTATATCATTATTTTCTCATGCATAAAGCCTTAAATTGAATATTATTTTTTAATATTATACCGAATGACATTAACGAGTATAAACTGAATATTTGGCGTCAAAAATTGGATTTGCATCTACCAATTCCTAATTTTTCGAAACCTGAAAGTTCAGGCATTTTTTTAAAGTTCAATGTATAAAAAATTTTAAAGTTCAATGTATAAAAACAAAGCTTTTTTAAAGCCTAAAAAATTTTAAAATTGAAACAATTATTACAAACTTAAAAAATTAAAGACCAAAAAAGTTACTCAAAAATTAAAAATGTATTTTTTGACAATAGGAATTGGTACCCAAAATTTAAGGGAACGATTTAATCCATTCTGATTCTGACCTAATTTGGAAAGTTATCGATTATGTTCACCATCATGTACTATTCATTTGGTCAAACTTAGATAAATATTACCTCAACATGTGATTTGTATTAAAAAAATAGAATTAAAAAAAAAAAATCATGTAAGGTTCTCTTAGATTCATTTCAATGTGCACTTTCATAATTTTAACTTTTTAAAAGTTCTATTATCATGCAATCAAAGATATTAAGTAAAAAATGTATACTAGATTTCATGAAAATGCAAGTAAACCAAAAAAACAAATATTCATTTCAAAATATAAATTCGAATTTTTTATATTTATTAATAATACAATGAAATGACAAAATTCAATTCAAATGTAATACAAAATCTTAATAAAACTAAGGATAAATTGCAAATAACTTCCTCTCAAATCACCTAAAATTGGTTTTATTACCCTTTTTTTTGTTTATTTTAAATAACCACCCCTTAAAGTTAAAAAAAAAAATTAGAAATCACCACCTCTGAACTAAAAGTTCAATTTTTAAAAATAAATACAATGATTTCGTGCCACTACTTGGTCTATTAATGTTTTGGGGACACTTTGGCCCTTTGAGTTCAATTTAAACTCAGAATTGAAAAAAAAAATATTGGAAATGCCTCATTTTGCATATAAAAAATTACCTCGATTTGTGTGAAACTCTTAAAAAGAAGCAAATCTGATACTTTTTTTTGGGTGTTTGGACCTCAAACCAGATCCATAGGACCAAAGCGGCCCTGAAAACCTTAATAGACCAAATTTGGGTATGAAAATTGATAACTTTTAGTTAAGAGGTGGTGATTTCTAGTTTTTTTTAACTTTAAGGGATGGTTATTTAAAATAAACAAAAAATGGGTGGTAAATCAACTTTAGGTTATTTGAGGAGTGGTTATATACATTTTTTCCTAAAACTAAAGTTACATTACATCATTTCTCCTATTTATTGAATGAACTACAAATAGGAGTTTCACAACCAATACGATTTGTTCTTTCGCTTCATCACGAAGGTGTATTACTAAAAGTTAATTTTCGTTGTGATTCCTTATACTTCAGTAATTAACACTACATTTACTACACTCAAATCTTCACATCTACAAATAAGATTGCTAGCATAAAATTTTCTGTTCCATGTTAAAATTTTCATACACACCTAATTGGTCTCACACTTACAGGTTATCAATTTCAGTCTTTTGGATTTTATATCGGAGTAAATAACCATACATAGTAATTAAGCTTACTGTGACTTGTGAGTATATTACAAACACTTGTAAGACATGTTATCATTATAAATAAATAATGAAATTCTATAAAGTTCAGCAATAGAATTACTAAGTATAAGAAATCTTAAGTTGAGAGTGTTGATAATGATGTTCAAGCCAACTAGTGGAGATGATAAATTATTTAAATCTATAGGATATTCCATTGATTTCAAAACAATAATGTAAGATTTTAGTCTGATGACAATTTTATTTTATTTTTTTTTTTTTTTTTTTGGAAATCACATACTTCCTCCGTTTTTTTATTATTGCACGGGGTTAAGTAAAAATATTTTAGTAGTGGGAAAAAATAAGAGAGAGAAAGGTAAAAATACAAAATTGTCCATGTAACATATTGATAAATGAAAAGGTAAGTGTGAAAAAACAAGGGTATTTTGGGTATTTTTAGTGTGAACACAAATAATTTTTTTCCTAAAGAGGAAATGATGCAATATTTGTGGAACTTCCTAAAAAGGCAAGTGGTGCAATAATAAAAGAACGGAGGAAATATATGATTTATATTGTCCAAATTTATTTCTAACTAGATTAATGCATGTGCTTCGCACGATAGTAACAATTTTTTCCATAATTAAATTGTGATATAATATTTAAAAAAAATGAGGCAATTCATATGAAATATACAAATGCAATGTGTATAAGAAAATTGAAATAATAAGGCCAAATTATTAAAATTAAATTGAGAAAAAAAAAATTTGTTGATCAGTTGTGTTGAAAATATTTAAAAGTATTATACATTATAATACGGAGTAACAAAAATAAAAAATAAATAAATAAATAAAAAAAAACAATGACATCATATGTCAAAAATGATAGTTTAATGATAGTTTGACATGTGTCAAAAATGAAAATTAGATAGTTTGACATGTGTCAAAAATGATATAAACATGTTCTGTTTTAGTATTAGTTTATAGATTGGATTAGTGTGTTGTGGATTAATTCGGAAAGCAAGATTAGCAATTGTAAATTTATAAAATTGTAGCAAAAGGTTAGATGCTTTATTTTATCAACCATTAATAGCAAAAAAATTTCAATAGATTTAGCATATGAATCTCTCTTGTGACTTTGACTCTTCCAATTTCTCTCTTTTCTTTTTTTCATGTTTTTACAATAATCTATTCATTTTTTTACAAATTTTTTGATTCATTCTTCTTAATCCACATATACAAGTCATTTGATTTATTTTAATTATAAATCATTGAATATTTCACGCGTCCGAATATGACGTTATTGTTAGTATCATGGGTTATAACATTATATACCTTATGGCAAATGATCGAATTGCGGCAGTGTGTGAAAAGCGTTTCGATTGTTATCATGAATTATGCCAATACGCATTTGGAGAGAAGCTTGGGTTATGCTTAATTTTCCACAACAATTTATGGTTCAAGCGGCATGTGATACTGTTTATAGGGTTAATAAAGGTAGTTCGCTAATGAAATTATATAATACTATTCAATTCATTTTTTTAACAAATTTTTTGATTCATTCTTTTTAATCTACTAATTTAAACTAATAAATTGTTGACATCACTTTAATTTATTTAGACTATTTATTTGAAATTATCAAGTGCCACATATAAATATATATAATAAAAAAAGTTATATAATGTGTGCCTCATATACGATAAGGCTAGGCTAAGATACAACCACTTAATTTAGTCCTCGCGTCTTTTAAAACTAAGATATAACCACTTAATTTAGTCTTATTAAAAAATTGTGGAAGTCTAAGTGAGAACGCAAGTATTCTAACAAGTGTATCTAGAGAGACGTGGAAAATGAGAGCTTATTTTTTATGAGAATAATGTGTTATAACGTGATGAGCTACATTCAAATTAATGCTATACACCACGCCTATATATAGGTAAGCCCCTTAATTATGGAGTTTTCTAACCTCCTTATGTATGTGGTTGGGATTATGCCATTTAGCTAGCTATCTAAAATTTTCTAGATATTTAATTAGATAAGATACCATGCTTTTCTAGAATTCTCTATTCTAGAAGGTTATTTACTAAGGGCACCCCATAAGGACCTGCAATTTCTCCTACATGCCTCATGCGTCCTTAGCTTGTCTCCTTAGTAAGAAGCCCATATCACCTTATTTGGCCTAACATAGCCCATTATAACGCTTTCAGCAATCCTTAAAGAAACACTTAAAACTATCTAATTTTCATTATTTAGGGCTTGTTCTCATTGACTGAACTCAGCTGAACTGACTGAACTGAAATGAATATTTTATAAGAGAAGGAAATTAGGAGCTGAGCCGAGCTGAATTGAATTTCAACGTAAGAGAACAGGCCCTTAGTAGGTAAGAAGTTGAGTTAGGACTCTTAGGACCACCTATACACTACATTATATCAAAGATTGCATAATAGCCAAATGTCTTCTAGCATAAGACAGCTCTTAACTCCATGAAACATGAAATAAAATGCAACGAACAAATGCAGAGACTAGAGCCACAGAGAAAGAAATTTTAGTTGATGAAAGAGCATACATATTATATAGCAAGATAGAAGGGGTAACAAACGATTACTCGGTCGATATGTTTGAGAATCAGCACAAGGAAAGGTGTATAAGTACACGTACACATATACAGAGGCCCTCAATACAATTTTATTTAATTTGTCAAGAGAAAGGCAGCACTTACAACAAAGCAGAATATAAAGGTCGCAGATAAAAGCTCAAGTCCCCTATCCACAATGACCTGCGTATGAACAAATTGGTCCAGTTACTGCAAGCTAAAACAGAACCACGAAACCAAAGAAGCAACAATAAATGCAGACAAAATCAAATACCTACAGAGTACAAGTGTGTTCATTTTTAATTTTCTGTGTTACTTTTCCTTGTTACATGGGTAATCATCTACACTTAAATAATCATGACTAAACAAATACGAAGTATAATTCTGTCCAATACAATGACTATAATTCCTCGTCTCATGATGGTGCCAGCTATGACAAGAGCAGCAGGTTATACTTCCAAACACCAACCAGAGCTCATAAATTTTTAGTTCAGCAATGCATGAAGCTCTCCGGCAGAAAATTACTCTTACAAGTGCAATAACAAATTTACAAAAACACAAATTATCCATATTATTCGCTTTAATCATTTCACCTCAAGTACCTATGTGATGTCATAACCTTGACCCTTCACATCGGCATGAACACTTCAACACTTCGTTTGATGCCAAATAACGAAAATTAATAAATTAATTAACACAACCAAATGAAACACTTGAACATGTATGCACCAATGTCAGACATGAGTACCAAAATCCGAGTAACATACTAGAAAATGCATAATGCCACAGCAACAGAGATTACATACTGTAGGTGATACGAATCCAACAGCAACCCCACCTCCAAGAAGCAACACCAACAAAGTCAATGACAACAAACCTAAAACCCAACCAAAAAATCAATTTAATCAACGCAGAAAACCCCAATTTAATTTCATTAAAAAAACAAAAATATAGAAAAATGTGATTAAAATTATGAAATAAAAAGAGGGAAAAACCATTGCAACGATAATGGAGACGAGTGCCGTCGCTTAAAGTAGCGCCAGGAACAATCTTGCCGGGTAGAACAGACCCGAATATAGCTAAGTACCCAAAATACGACAACAATAAACCCACCTATAATTTCCATGAAATTATCGAAAAAGATCAAAATTAATTTATACAGCCGCAAAATCGAGTGAATTGAAGGTTCAAATCAATAATTAAGAATGAACTTACAGAGGTGAAAGAAGGAATGAGAGAGTGAAGAAGTGAATTTAGATCCATTTTTTTCTGAATCTTGTCTTTGGTTTCAGAGAAGACCAGATTTTGGTGTTGTGTTCTCTTGTTGATACAGAGAAGTCACAAGCTCTTCTCGTCGTGGAGCCAAGGTCCACTTAACTGTCAAATTGATTATTTCATTAATTTTGGTGAAACCAAATTTAGATTGGGATTTTTCACAAGTTTAACTAGTTACCTACTAGTACTTACCCATATCGGTACATTTATCACTCCAACATTTTTTCAATCCCTCATGTCACCCATGCAACCAACAATTAAATTTTTTAAAAAAAGTGGATACACTTAACTTTTAAAAAAAATTGTTTAACCATCTAAGTAATGACCATTTATGTTACAATCTTGCACACAAATTTATGTTATACTACACAAGTATTGAAAACACTTACAAAATATTAAGTGTCTTTTATTTTTCAGAGTAAATTGCAACTCCATATCTTTACTTGTAGTACTAAACACAAGCTGCTACCTTAAGTAGTGGTTTTAGTCTAAACCGCTGCGTAAGGTAAGTGGTTTGTCTCTAAATTAAAAATTACTACAAATGTATTCCCAAACTATGTGGACTATATTTTCGTAAATAAGTTTTAATCCAATGCAAAATCGTAAATAAGTTTTTTAAAAGGTATAATTTTTTAAAACATCCTAAACCTACGAGGTAATTTTTATAATTATATAAGAGAGTGAAATATGAGAAAATACAAGTTTCTCAACATGAAAAACTTGTACGTTTCTCAAAATGTCACGCTTGTCCTTTTGCATAAAAAAAAGTTGTATTTGTCCATCAACAAATTTGGATGAAAACGATGGATTGCAACTGTTATATGCCATTAATAAAACTACTAGAATAAACTCACCACTCCCTCTATACAAACAATGAACTTGAAAAGTTCTGCAACAATGGACATCAAGGAATTCAATGGAGAAGTAAAAATTCACAAGCAAACGACAAAACACTTACCCTTTGGGATTGCCACTAAAAATGGTGGTGTTGGGATTAGGGGTTTGCTGTGGTGTTCGTAGTATTGAGGATGCTTCTTGTCGTTGTGTTAAGCGAAATCCGCCATTGTTGTTTGTTGAGGAAGGAAGGGAGGAAGGGGAAGGAGACAACAGACTCACAACGTTAATTAATTGCACATGAGTCACATGCTACCTTCTCACACACAGTCGGCAAAGGGGTTCATTACAATGTCCAAATATTTACGAAACTGCCATTTGAGAAACAACCACCATTTCTCAATTGAGAAACCAGACTTTCTCGTGAAAATATAGGTATGAGGAAATAGTAAGAGAATTATTGGTAAGAGAACTTTTAATTTACTTTGTTGGTGGTTTTTTTCCTTCACCATTAAGAGTGCTCTAAGATTGGTCATTAATGATGAAGCCCCCAACAATAACCCTATCAAGTGGGCAAATATGTAATCAATTGCAATATTTTTGTTTTTTCTTCTGAAAAAATGTAAAAACTACCATAAACCAATCACAACATTATTGCATCCTCCATGTTCCTTTCAGAAACACTTCATAGCCACCATCACCACCAATCCACCATCTCTCCAACTTCCCACCAAACAACTACTAAGGTTTTGCCATCATCCTTAAACTGGATTCTTATGGGCCAAAACGACCATAAAGTCATTATAGAGCACTTTTTTGGTTAAAAAAATCTATAAATTATAGGAAGTTTTTTATTTTTAATTTTTCATTTAACATCATGTTCCTAACATGTGATGGTCAACGGTAGAATCTAGTGGTCAATCTTTAAAATTGAGCACAATTCCTTCTCACAACCCAAACACGCGATGGTCAACGCTTGAGTTCGACGGTCAACTTATGAGTAATAACCATTCTCACAACCTAAATCGCATAAAGGGGATGTTTGGTAAATGACTATTTGATGGCTTTTTCATTAGTATAGCTTTTAGCCTTATTACTTGGTCAAATAACAAAAAAAAAATGGTAAATAACTTTTTTTACGAGTTGGCTTTTTCGCCAAAAATAAAAAGCTACTCTTACTAGCTACAATATTTGTTATTGACTTTTGGATTTTACCTTATAAATTAATAATTAGTATTAGGAAATTTTGCATTCAGCCACCTGTTAAATCCTATTTTTTTGCAAATAACAACCTTATAAAAAAAATGTTGCAAAAGACCACCATTTTTTAAAAATTTGTTGCCACTTACCACCAACTACCGGAAAGTGGTTGTTGACCACTTTTTCCGGCATTGACCTTGTCACGTGTGTGGCACATGACTATTAATTAACTTTAATTTCCCTTTTTTCTTTCTTTCCCTCTATTCTTTTGATTCCTCTTATCCTCTATTTCTCTTTCTTTCTTATTCTTTCTATTCCTTCATTGTTGATTGTTGTTGTTGTTGCTGCAACTTCAATTCTTAATGCTAGGAACCCTAATTATTGTTAATTATTGCTACTTCAATTCTTCCACCATCCACGAGCACCCACTACCCACAATCTCCTCTCACAGGTCGCCTACCACCCACTTACCCTGCCTACATAGCAAAACCCACCCAAACATAAAACCAACCCAACCGCAAAAACCATCCAAGAACAACTCACCCATTATAACCCAATTCCCTTCAAAAACCCCAGATCTAAGTGGTGAATCGATAAGGGAGAATAGGGGTGATGACTTAACAAAGGAGGGAAGGGAAACAAAGGAAGAGACGAAGAAGAATTGAAGGATTAGAGTTCATTAAGACTTAACAAAAGATAAATTGTCATTGGGGGAGGATTAGGGTTCATTAAGGGGAAAATTGAATTCAAGTAAATGAATTCAATTACCAGATAAGAGACGGAGAAGAAGATCGATGAACAAAGAAGAAAAAGAGAGGAAAATAAACTTACTTGAATTGTTAAGAAGTAGCAACTAGCAACCTATCATGGAGAGGAATAAAGAGGCAAGGAAACAAGAGGAACATAGAAGAGAAAGAAAGAGGAACCACGGAAGGAGCAAGGAGAAATCAAAGGAGAAAAGGAAAGGAAAAAAAGGGGGGATCATGTGCCACGCACATGACTGGGTCAACGCCAGAGACGTTAGTCAACTATCCACTTTTCGACAATAGGTGGTAAGTGGCAAGATATTTTTCAAAAATGGTGGTCTTTTGCAACATTTTTTTTATAAGGTGGTTATTTGCAAAAAAAAAAAAAAAAGGATTTAAAAGGTGGTTAAATGCAAAATTTCCTTAGTATTATGAATTATAAAAATTATGTTTGTTACAAAGATAATAAAATATACTAATGCCCTTAAAGGTCATTATATAAAGCATTTAGCAACCAACATCTAATTTGACCAAACATATTTTAAAAGCTCACAGTCAAACAACCAACCTAAAAAACCAATATAAACAGCTAGTCAAACTAGTCAAGACAAACAACCAACAATCCATAGCTAGTCAAACTAGTCAAGACAAACAAAAAGCAACCAAATGCCAAACATTACCTGTAGGCGTCGTTCGAAGTGCGCCTACGTTAAAGCATGTGTGAATATGCTTGGCACTCATAGGAAGTGGGAAGTGACATAATACGATTAGGGACAAGGAAAGTAGGGAGCCGCCAACAAGTTTTTTAAGGAACTTGTAAACCGTTCACGGATCATTTAAGGCAACCACGAATAAGGGACAACGAAGGCAACAATGATTGACCCGTGAAGGTTACACCCCATTCATAATCCATGAGATTACTAACTCCATATGGTTCGGAACCACGAAAGGAGGATCAGGGATGATGGTACGAAGTGAGTCATGGAGTCACATTCGCCCGTATTGGGCTCTACTCGATTCTTATAGTGAAAATTGATTCCTGCGATCTCAAAGGCATGCAAATAAAATATTCAATTTGCTCCAAACTATTATTAGGCTAAATTGGTTGAATATTAATGCAACATATAATTCTAAAATATTAGTGATCACTTTAATTAATAACAAGATGAAAAAGGAACCTAAACCGGTCGTCCAAATTATCTTATTAGGCGTGATTTTCAATTACATATTCCCTTTAAACATGCAATATAGTGATCATAATAACAATAGAATAAACATTAATATTGGAAGCAATTTAACAATAATAGCGTTAGTCAAATCAAATATAAAATAACCCTAATCATGATACTAGCAATATTAAAATAAAATAAGAGTAATTAAATTAATTAATTACTCACATTCCGCACGTTCCTTTAAATTGCTACATCATGAATAAACTGTTAGTAACTTCAATAAAAATATATAAAGTAAATGAAAATTAAATTAAATTAAATAAAAAGTAGAGTTGATTTGGTCCAAACCCTCAGTTATTTGTACCTTTCACGCCTTGGTTTAAGGACGGAACCTCGGGTTAAGTATGGACTCCTTGGAGCGCTTAGGGGAATTATTATGGAAGAATAAGGAGGCTAGAAATTAGGTTAAAGAGGGAGAAGAGAATGATTTTTGGTGTAAGGTGAGAGAGAATGATTATTGGTGCCCCGAACTGCAGAAAGGGGGGGGGTCTTATTTATAAGGGATATGAGCAGAGGGAACACGTGGAACCCTAAAAAGATAAAAACCTTAAAAAATAACACCGTGTCTGACAGGGTAGAGTCGTATCCCCAAATCAAAAGTAATTTCCTAAATCCTCTAACTAATGTAGATAGGGAAGTAGGGTCGTATCCACAAAGAAACGAGTCTTTCTATTCCTAATTAACTAATGTAATCTAAATTATAAAGTAACCAATATATGAATTTGAATATGAAACTAAACTACGAAGATTAAGGGTAGGGAGAAAACAATGAATAAAAGGATCTAGGGTATAGGTTCACCAATAAATAATATTCCAGGGTAGAATATAATAATCATTCATCAATGCATACATTAATCAGATTATAAAGGGCTTTCGCTACGTATTATAATCACATAATTAATTTACCGGCATTAAATCTCATCTTTCGAATCTCGACTTAACCATTTATAAATTAACCTACCTATTGAAACTAGACCTAAACATCAATTCTCATCTGTCGAATCTCGAATCAATATTGTCAAACTCATGCATAAAAGATCAGGCCTAATCTAGTCACAGAGCATTAAATCAATCAATAGGAAATTAATCTAGCATTGACAATCAACAACAATAAATTACCCCTTCATATAATCTAT